GGGCGAGTCCCGCGGCCCAAACCAGCCCCGGGAGGGTGCGGGATGGGGGCCCTGCTGACCCTGGGTGTCCCCACAGTGTCCCCCGCCCCGGGGCCGGTTTCTCTGCTCAGGCGGGTTCTTGGTTTTACAGGGTTTGCTGTGTGACTTGCAGGGACGCCGGTGGTGTTCGTGGTGCCCTGGGTGGCTGCCAAGTACCTGAAAGAGAACGTGGAGTGAGTGGGGAGGGGTGGAGGGTGCCTCTGGGATGCTCAGCCCTGGGCCAGGGTTCAGGACGGAGGCTGGTGGGCGTCCCTGACCCACTGCGCCGGGGCTGGCACACTCGTAGCCTCATCCTGCCCGACCTGGCACGGCGTGATGGTGCTGATCTCCGTGTCTCCTTGGGCAGGTGCTGGGCGCTGAACGAGAACATGGCTTACTGGTGGATCATCCGCATCCCCATCCTGCTCGCCTCCCTGGTAGGGAGGCACCCGCCAGCCCCACACCTTTTCAGAGAACAGCAGCTCAGCCCCTGGCTCCCGGTCCTGGGGAGGGGGCAGTGACCCCCAGGGCAGCCCCCAGCAGAGCCCGGGAGCGAAGGGATGCCACGGCATCCTGCTAAATGCACATTGGGGGGTTAAATAAATGCACATTAATTGCTAAATGGGGTTTTTTTTGCACCAGCTTGGTAACCCCGAGGCTCTGGGGCTCCATATGGGGGGGGGTGGCTGTGCTGGGCCCTGGAGAAAGGGGCTGGGAGGGGCCCCTGCTGATTCCTAGCTGGGGTTTTGGGATGGGCGGCTCTGGGGACCCAGCACTGTTGGGCTGTAGCAGCCTTGGCAGTACGGGAGGGGGTTGTCATCTCCTGTGGCCATGTCATGGCCAGGGTGGGCGTGCTGGGCTATCCGTGCCCCTGCGCTGTCTCCCCCTCCCCAGATCAACCTGCTGATCTTCATGCGGATCCTCAAGGTGATCCTGGCCAAGCTCCGTGCCAACCAGAAGGGCTACGCGGACTACAAGCTGCGGTGAGCCGGGAGGGAGGGGGCGGCTGGTTGGGGGTCCTCCCCCATCCTGCGGCCACGCCACCTCCCGTCCACCTCCATCCCACTCCTCTGTCCCGCACATCATTAAAAGAACCACCCAGAGGTTAACTAAGAGCTCATCCCTGCCTGCACGTGTGCCCCAGCCCTTTAGTACTCGTTGCCGGAGCGGTCCCATTGTGCTCTTTCAGGCTGGCCAAAGCCACGCTCACCCTCATCCCCCTCTTCGGTATCCACGAGGTCGTCTTCATCTTCGCCACCGATGAGCAAACCACGGGCATCCTGCGCTATGTCAAGGTGTTCTTCACCCTCTTCCTCAACTCCTTCCAGGTGAGGTGGGAGCGTGACACGTTCTTGCTCTCCTTGCTCTGCCCTGGCCACCGAGCAGCAAGAATTAAGGGGTCCCTCTTCCAGCTCACCCCCACCATGGTGCCTGGGCCTGTGGCTGGGCTTGGGGAGGGAGACACCAGCTCTCCCACCCCCAGCCCTGTCACTGGGTGCCCGACGGTGCCTCCTGTGCTCTCCAAGGCAGTGCTGGCAGGGGAACCTCGGCCCCGAAAGCGCCCAGAAATGGCCTGGGGAGACTCAGCCCGTCCCAGCCCCAGGGATGGGGATGGCAGTGGGGTGGCGGTGGGGCCTCACTCCCCTGCTCTCCCTCCAGGGCTTCCTGGTGGCCGTGCTCTACTGCTTCGCCAATAAGGAGGTACGTCCCCACTGCAGGTTCTGCCTGGCGCCGGGGCTCGGCCCTGCCTTGGCTGGTGGTTTTGCCATCCTGCCCCACACCTGCTCCGTTGGCGGGGAGGGCACGGCCAGGGAAAAGCCCTTGTCATCTCCCCCGGCGTGGCAGGTGAAGTCAGAGATGAAGAAGAAGTGGCAGCTCTGGAAGCTCGACCACCCGGCGCTCTGCTGCGCCCAGTGATGCGGTGATGGGCCCCGCAGAGCCGGAAGAGAGCGGCTGGACCCACGCGGGCCCCGGGCTGGGGCTGGTGCAAAAAAAAAAGCTCTGGAGCTGCTGGGGGGCATGTCCCCCCGCTGCGGTCCGAGGGGGAGACAGGCACCCTTGGCTTGTACCAGGCATTGCTGCCCCCTCAGAAAAGCCTCACCTTGCTTGAGCTGGGTGAGCTACGTGGAGAGATGTTCCTGCTGCTTTCTACTGCTGCCCGGGCACCATCAGCTACCTCTGCCGGCATCCACCAGGGAAGCTCATGGGGAACCCCCCTCCCACCCCTACCAACTGGGGCCCCCACTGGAGGGGATCGCGGTGGCTGGAGAGGGAGCCTGGCCCCCGCCATCAGCAGGAATGGGAGACGCTGCTTGGCGAGACACTGCCGCACGGATCGGCTGCCCCAGCGCCCAGATGGACAAACACCTCCCAGTGCCACCAGTGCCCTGCCAGCACTGCTCCCACCCAGGGCACGGAGAGCGTGGAGGTGATGCCCTAAGCAAGGGCCATCTCCCCAGCACCCTGAGAGCTCCCAGAGTCATCCCGCACAGCTCCTCTGTAGCAAGCTGCTGCTTCTGCACCTTCTCACCCCGCTCGTCACCGAGAGGGAACATGGCATCAGCACCCGCCTCCCTCCCCGCTGCTCTCCAGTGGCGCAGACCGCCAGGATTCCTCCTCTGCGAGCTCTCCCTGCAGCAGAGACCCCCGAGCCCCCCTTCGCAGCGAGCAGAGCCGAGGCAGCAGGCACGCAAGGACCTTTCCCCCAGCGCCTGGGCGCTTGGACTGTGGTATTTACCCTATGCATTAAGGGCAGCGCTGCTTCTCCTTCAGTGGCAGGGGGAAAAAACCAAAATCACAATGGAGAGCGAAGGACTTGAGAGCATCATCTCGCCGAGAGCTGATCCCGACCTCCCCCGTCCCAGGCCCAGCATCCAGCCCAGCCCCCTGCCCCTTTGCGGCAGGGGGGGCTGTGAAGTCCAAGGCAGGAACCACGCTTGGCTCAGGAACCATTTTGCTGGCAAGCCTGGGTGTTTCTGGGCCCAGCTGTTCAACAGCTGGGGTTTGAGATGTTTCCTTCCCAGCTGGATGCAGAAGCACCAGCTGCCTACCCCAGCCAAGCAGCCTGGTGGACCCTAGGAAGCATGGGAGCATCTACGCCGCTGCCTTTGCAAGCAGAGCACGCGGGGCTGCGCGGTTCGAGCAGCGCTGTTCAGCCATGGCTGCACGTATCCAACCTCACTAAAGGCCACTGCAGGAGGGGGAAGGCAGCTCTCCCTCTGCGACACGCGGGGGGACAGAGGCAGTTCCCCATCTCCAGCTCGCTGACAGTCCGGGGGGAGCCTCGTGTGGCTGCAGCGTCTCAAGGGGGGCTGCCTCGAGCACAGCAAGCAAAGAGGCTGAGCCAGGCTCCGCTGCAGCTGGGTTCCAGGCTGCAGTCACGCAGGAGCTCTCCTGGATCAATGTAACCCCTGAGAGACCGTTTTACACCTTAACTATCTTTTCAGATGTAAATAAACATTTATTTTTCAGCAAGCAGAGCATGCAGCTTCTGTCTGCTCCGAGGGAGGGAAGGGGCTCTTGAGCACCACGGTAAACGCAGCCGCATGTGCAAGGGCACCCATCTGTGCACGAGCACACACACTCCCCGTGACGGGGCATTAAACAGGCACCCAGAGCCCCGGGCTTCAGGGAGAACCGCGCTCTCCTCCCTAGGATTCCATTACAGGTTACTCAAGGAGGACAGGAGCAAAGCTCTCCACGTGATCGGGATAAATAACCCAACCAAGTGACCCAGCTCGCACACCAGCTCTGGGAGCAGCAGAGCCGTCACACCCGGCCTGAGGGAGGGGGACAGGAATCGGATCGCTGTCTGCATCCTCCTCTGCTCTCCGCAGGGCGCTGCTCGCTCCAGGAGCCCGGCACCGGTGCGCACGCTCGGGGCACTGCTCGAGGAGCTGCTCCCAGAGCTGTACGAGGCCTCGCTACCTTGGAGAAGAAAGCTGGCCCCTTCTCCAGGTCCGAGCTCGTCTCCCTGGTGAGCACCGGAGCCTGTGCTCCCAGGGACTCTCTGAAGTGCTGCTGTGTGCGAGATGGAGCTGAGCAGAGCCAAGGAACAGTTCCCAACACCAAGGACCTTGAGTCAGAGAATGAGAGAGGAGCCACGGCCAGTTCTCTCCTGGCCGTTTCCAAACCAGCTGTGGAGACAGCCCTGGCCCACTGCTGCTGCTGGAGTCCACGCGACCGAGATATCAGGGATCCCAGAGCGACTCTGCTCCACTCCCACCACTACAAACCCTAACCCAGCTTGATCTGTGTTGAAACATAGCCAGAGCTTTACTTTTGACCAGAAAGAGAGTGTTGTTGCCCTATTTAAAGCTTTTTGTGCTGGCTGCGGAAGGGTGTCCTCCTGAGCACCCGTCTGCAGTGACAGAGCAGAGGCTGGCCAAGGAAGAGCTGTCACCCCAACAGCTCCCACCAGCCTCAGACCAGAAGAGATCGATAGTCCACTATGAGAGCAAAATCCAAGGATGCAACTCAAGGCGCAAACTCATTTCTGAATTAGCGTGGAGACAGCTTTTGCCACACCACTTGGACCTTTTGGGGGCAGAAGCGGCAAAGCCCAGGCAGGAAGGAGCAAGCTGAACGCAGCGAGGAGCACTCAGTTTGGTACCTGTGCTTGCTCTTCCTCCACAGCTCTGGCACTCCCTCCAGAGAAATCCACACACCAGAAACAGGTTTTCAATTTTTATTATTTTATCCAAGTCAGCAAATACGATTTTATTCGGACAGCTTGCCTCAGGGTAGCACCAGACTCCCCCCTGCCAGCACCGCCACCCTGTCAGCAACGAACGCTGTTTGAAGTCCTTGGTTTAAGGGACTGCCTCCTCAGGGAAACACTGGTCTATGAAATCCCCTCCCCGCTGTCCCCCTTGGGCCCCTCCAGCACCCCTTTAAGCCTCTGCTTCTGGGCTCCTGCAGCACCTTTTCCGTGAGGCTCTCCTTTTCCTTCACACATACACCGCTGCGTCTCTCGCCTACCCCTTCGCCCCAGCCCCCAAGCACCACAAGCTGCTGGATGTACCATCTCCCTCCCCAAAAAGCCCCTTCCTTCCACCTTCTGACCTGGCAAAGCCAGGCCCAGCTCTGTGCAGTCTCTCCTGTCAGCCACCCGCTCTCCTGCGCAGCCTGCCAGCTCTGGAGGCAGTGCTGAGCCAGGGCTTCCCTTGATCTCCAGGTGCTCCTAGGCCCTTTCACTTGGGTTTGTTTTTTGGGGTTTTTTTTTTTCTTCTATGAAGACTTCTTCCCCTTTCCCCACAGACATCTTGCCTTAAATTCAAGTCTGGGCTTCACAGCACTAACAGTCCTGTACTAGTACAGCCAGAGGCACTGCCAAGGCCCTCCCCACCATTCCTCCAGCAACAGGGAATGGGGGACAAAGCCCCTAACACTGTTCCCAGCACACCCTCAGCACTCTGAGCAGCTTTCAGGGACGCTGCCTCTGGAGAACTGGCTCCACCTCAAAACTAATTCTTCAGGGTGCGATCTCCTGCAGCCTTGTCCCACTGCCTGCTGCGTGGCTGCTGTCAGATGCTCACATGCATAGACCCATGTCATCTGCTAAAGATGGAAAAATAGTGTGCCAAGTTAAGATTAAGAGTTAAGCATGAGCAGAAAGCAGCACCCCACAGTCTGCACGCTGCTGAGCCGGGCAGGTTCATGTCAGAGTGGGTCACACCTGCGCCGGTGCCCCAAGACGACAGTGCCCAGGAAGCACAGAGATACCAGTTTAGTGGGACAGTCAAAGGAGATGGCGCCTTTACCAAACACAGACTAGCCTTCAAGTATACCTAAACGGTCTCGAGCAGCTGATCAGAAGGGGTGACTAGCTCAAAAGATGGAGCTGGAATGGATTTTTGTATTTTGGCATCTTGGTCGAGGTCCAAAAATCAGAAGGAACACACAGTTTCCTCCTCTTCCCAAAGAGACTTTTCCAGACTCATCACAGCCATCACTCACAGACTTCAGGCTTTGCTGTTTGCTCCCTCCCCCCCAGGCCTCCACAATACACAGGAACAGAGAGCCGCTGGAAACCATTTTACATCAATGGAATAGTCAGAGCCCTTGTGGCTGCTCACCCAGCTCCAGGGGATGGAGCAGTGCCTCTGGGGTGGCAGCAGCCTCTGCCTGCCTGCCCTCCGAAAGCACCCACACTGCCAATGCAGCAATGCCCCGGCAGAACCATTTCCAAACACTAAAGCCCAGAAACAAAGGCAGGCAGTGGTCGAGGACCAGAGCTTTGCACCGCAGTTACATCTGGGATGTGATTTCTTTTGCCCACGTCACGTGTGGGACAGATCTATCCCTCCATTCTTGTTCTGCCTGCCTTGGCACTCTGCTGCCTGCCAGAGGCACAGGAGACTGAACAGTCTCCAGCTCTTCCTTCTCTCTCATGTCCTTCCAGGGGAACATCTGCCTTGCAGCCACTGTCAGCGTCAGAATCTTGGCACTGACAAACCAGACCGACAGCCTCTGCCATAAAGCATTTACCACAAAACCAATTTTTTGGGGAACTGAGTAACATGAACAAGCCCTGAGGTGGGAAAAATTCTGAACCAAACCAGGGTGGACTAGTGGGAGGGAGAGGTTTTGAAGCACAGATCTGGGATGGCAGTAGGGCAGGGATTCCTGCTAGAGATTAGGGCTGCACAAGTCTCACTGCAGCTCAATGAGCCAAACACTGCAAATTCTACTCACTTCACCCATCCACAACAAACCTGCCCTCCCTATTGCCTCAGATGCATTTTCTGGGTCAGCTCCTGAGCAACCCACATGGCACAGAAGGGGCCAGGGCAAGTGTCAGAGGTCTTGGCGAGGACAGGATGCAAAAAAGGATAATTGATTGCTGTGGGCAACTGATAGCTTTCTAAAACCACACAGCCCTGAATGACAAGGGCTGAAGGAAGCTTAAGGCAGAT